TGAAATGAGGAACTTAAGGATATATACACTGAGACAGTACAAAAGTTCCATATGGTTCCCATTGCTGGTATCTTTATGGAGTGAGGTCTGCTGACTGCAATTTAAAAATAAGATTTTGCACTTAATTAGATATCTGATTATATATTTTGGTTTCATTTCACTAATGTTTAGACCATGTTTCACAGATTTTGTGCAACAAAACTGCTTGCAAACGTGCACCTCTACACATTTGTGCAGAGGTATCTCGGTATCCTCCATGATCTCATTCCAGTAAACACGCCATGGTGTGTAAATAAGTGTCACAAGAGACTGCTCAAATATAGGGTTACAGAAATTGTCATGGTTCTGAAGTGAACCATCTAGGTTAACAGGAGGGAAGCACTAAGTCAATTGCATCTCCTCCTTTCTGGCATGCTTGAGTTGGGCTGAGGCAGTCCAGTATGAAGGTCAGAGTCTTCTCCAATTCATGGTGGAGTTCCAACTCATGCTATTAAATGTGCGACTTGTTAACATAAAGAGATTAATCAGCACTCTGGGAGTTGTGGTTCTGACAGTGCCAGAGGCAAAAAGATTGGGAAATGGGAGCGTGGGACAAGAGGTAAACAAAATGGGAAGGGAGGAAAATGAAAACTGGAGCAGAGAAGCAAGACAGACAACAAGGACCAGGTGACAGCTCTGCAAGCAAAACTTGAAGGCAGGCAGATAGGGATTGCTCTGCTGCAGCTGGAAGGACGATGCATCATCACAGTAATAAAATCTGCTCTCTTTCTTCCTTTTTGAACGCAAAGCTCCAGTTATAAGCTGTGACACTCATCAGCTGAGAAAAATCAGGCTTGGAGTTTGGCTTTTTGGGTTTGTTTGGGATTTTTTAGCATGAAAATAGTTTCATCCTTGACCTGTACCAGACTGTGTGAAAGGCTGGAAACAGCCTTACAGTTGAGTGTAAGGAAAACAAACCCCAAAACAAAACCAAAAAAACCCAAATTGTCACTATGCTGACAAAGGGACAAACACAACAGTGCACTAAACAGATACTTATTTATTGTGTAATGCAAAGGAAAATGGATGTGATCCTCCTGAGCTGGCACATCCAGATGAAGTCCAAGTCCAAAAGAAGCACAGTCCTACTATCTAACACAACTACAACAATTCTGCTAGGGTGAGAGGCAAGACATCACCGTGCTGCATGGTGGCATTCTGCACATTTCTCCCATCTGTCCTCTTTCTGAAAATTGTGTACAACTTCATTTTTTAGGAGGCTGGAGGAAGGGGAGATTTTCATTAGTGC